GAGAAATGTAGATGCCCCTATGAGGAAGTGCAAGAGGTTGACAATAACAGATATAATGAGAGGTAAAGATAAACTAAAGAAGTATTGATGAAGGTGTTTAAACAAAAAATGATACATCTTGAGCTTACCACGGAAATGACTTTGAATAGGAGTTGGGGTTTAAATGTTGCAATTTAGAATAGAAATTTAGTCGGTAGTTGAACATTCTCTCGTTTTCTATTGGGATAGGCTTGATGCTCCTATTTGGATATTCTTTCTTATTTGTGGTATTAGCACAATCCCCGTAATCTTTGTTATTCAGTTTCAATTGTCACCTTAATTAACGTGTGAATATTTTGATCATCACATTATTCTGTTGTCTTATTATTCTTTCCTTCGTACATTATTGAAAGTTTATTACAAAGAAACTCTACATTTCTTTGAGGTCTCCAAATTAATTTCCCTTATGATATGACATTAAATTTTTGGTAAAATATTATTTGTGGGATTACTATGATACTTGATTGTTTTTATTATTTTAGTTAGAATAATTAGTTTTGATACCATTATTCCATTATTTGGCACACATAATTTCACGATACTAGTTATACGATAACTTATTGCAAAATAACAAGAAAGATGAAGTTAGTGCTAAAATGTATGGGTTGTTTAGTTTAAAGAGATACTAAGATTATATTTATAGGTCATTTGGTTGGTCAAATCCAAATAATATATATAACATAATTTCTAAGAATAAGTTGTTTGTTTATAAAAATATTTTTTATTTTATTTAGGTTTTTTTTTTACAAGTTTTAATTAAGAACTCTTAAAAATAAAATTATCATCTTATTTATCTTAAATATGTGTATATGCGCATTTTCATAATTATGTAGTATGCTTTTACATAGGATTGACCGAAATTGTTGTTACGATATCAAACTTTGGAAAGGACCTTTTATCGCCTGTACTATTTAATAGTGTATTTTAAAGGTATATATGTGTCTACACGGACATCATAAATAATTAAAGGTCTAACCCATTGATGGCCCTCTAAACTTGGCAGTAATTTTCACTTAGACACTTTAACTAAGTTTTGTTCATTTTAGACACCTCATGTCGTGTCTCGTTGTGTCATTTTAACACTTTTTACTGACATGACATAGTGTCAACTCGTTAAAGGCTTATTTAATCATTTTTATTTTATTTTATTTCATTTTCTTCCTCATTTTTAGCCATCATCTCTCAAAACTTGAACTCCTTCCATGGAGAAATAGGTTTGATCATGCTATAGACAAAAAAATGAACTTTAATATAAAGAGATTTCACAAAAAAATAAATTTCAAACCACTAAAAAATCACGATTCATGTTGTCACAAAGAAGAAGGGCAGTGAAAAATCTTAAAAGACAATAAATGGGGTGGGAGAGGGGTGGAAAAGACCGGATTGAGGTTAGGATGGACTAAGGTATAGAAGACGTTGGGTGGATTGGGGGGGGGGGTGATAGTGAAAGAGATGGTTTGGGTGGGTGGGTAGGGGTTGGAGTGGGTGGTCAGAGAAGATGACCTTGGTAGATTTATTTATTTTTTAATTATTTTTTTGTAAAAAATTTCACGTGTCATTAAGTCATTTGCTACTTCTTCATTCTACTAAAATATTATTATTTAATTTTTTTTTAATATATATGCCATGTGTTTTTATTTAATCTGTCACCTTGAGACGTCATCGGTTAGTGCGTTACACACACTTTGTATATTTAGTTGATTGTTACAACAATGCTAAAATGACACAATGCAGAATGACATGAGGTGTCTAAAATGAATAAAACTTTAGTTAATGTGTCTAAGTGAAAATTGGTGTCAAGTTTAGGGGGTCATCGATGTGTTAGGCCATAATTAAATATTGCATCATTTTAAATAGTAGGCCAAAGTCATATGCGGTCACTCAAACTTGTTCCGATTATTCATTTTGGCACCTCAACAAGACATACTACCTATTAAACACTTCTACCATTCTGAATTTGAACAATTTGAATATTTTTTTTGAGAATAAACTAAAATTAGAGGATGTGTAAAATACACTCGCGCTGACATGTCAATTTGACCAATTAAATGATGACATGTATTATTTTTGAATCCAAAAAATTATTTAAACATTATATTATAAAGTAAAAAAAATTATTTTAAAGTAAAAAAAATGAAAAAAAAAATCTTAAACTTAAACACCCACTTCCCGTGCCTTCTACTGAACCCAAAACATACATTTCTCTCTAACTCCATTAATGGCGACCCTCCCCCTCTCTGTACAGTGCCATCTTCAATCCGATAAATTTTTCTTTATATCAGCTTTTTTATTAATTATAACTTTTTACTTCATCTCGTTTTTTAGGTAGGCAAAAATGGGGGAAAAAATCTCTCCGAAAAATTTCTAAGTTTCATTTGTCATTGTCGAAAAAAATGGAATTATTTTAATTTTTTTTATGTTTCATAATCGATTAATTTTTTTGGATGAAGAAACATCCTTACATTAGGCTAATATACATCAATTTAAAGTCAAAACAACACATTTGCAACAAATTAAAAACTTCAATAAAAATTTGAGCAAAGTAAATAATTGATAAAAAAACTCCTCCAATAAATTCAAACAACTGGACATCAATTTAACACCAAATTATTAAATTAACAACAAAGATACAAACTCAAAACTTAAATCCTTTACAAATTAAACATGAAAGAAAATGACGGTAATAATGGTGGAATGGTGGTGCAACCAATCCTAATATGGATGACAATGGGGTCAAAAATATAACAACAATCGAGCTAAAAAAAGATTAAGTATCAGGAGAAAATAAGAGGAAGAAAAAGGGGTGTGTAGCGGCGGTGATAGTGGTAAAATGATGTGTGATGGAGGAATGAGTGCCAAAGAAGATGAAGAAGAAATAATAGTTTTTTTTTCAAAAAAAAAGAAGGTCCAATTCAATACCTTCACGCGCCTAAAAGGTGTGGGTTACAAACAATGTGTCACATAGACAAAAAATGTTCAAATGGTTCATATTAGGAATGATTAAAGTGTTCAATAGGTAGTACCTCTAGTTGAGGTGTTTAAATGAATAATCGGGACAAGTTTGAGTGGTTGCATATGACTTTGGCCTAAATAGTAATATGTGGGCATATATATACCTTTAAAATGAACTATTAAATAGTGCAGGGGTAAAAGGTCCTCTATAAAGTTTGATATCGTAACAACAATTTAGGCCAACATTGAAAAAACATTTCGACCCTTTTCCCCTTTTAAATATAAAACATCCATCTTATTGAACTTAAAAATAAAATTTTACTCTTTAGTTTGTTAGAGTGAATTTTTTTTTATTGTTGATATAATTTTATTTAATCATATATATATCAGACATATAATATAAAATATTAAGGCTATCTACATTTTAATTGATATATAAAATATAGATTTTCAAGTGAAAAAATTATTTAATTAAAAATAATAATTCAATAAAGAAGTGAACATTTTTTTAAGAGAAATCAAAATATAAATAAACATAAGAATTAATCAAATAAATTTAACATATAATATATTCTTAAACAAAAAATATATTTATATAGTATAAATTTTTAATAAAAAAATATACAATAAGAATGGAAATAAAGCATAGTAAGGGATACTAAATTTTTTTTAATATACAATGTATGTTAAAATGATGCATAAAAGAGGGATTGAAGTGGTACCTTAAATTTTTATTATTCTGATATTAATATTCCATCCACTATTTAATAGGAATAACTATCCCATATTTTGTGACAAAACAAAAAATTAGGCATTTTGAAAACTTTAGTTAATTAGGAAAAATAACTTAAATACACAACTATAATTTTTATATTCTCCAATTTTTCCTACTTTTTTTAAATATTACATAATTCCCTATTTTTTTTTATTTTAGTGTAAGTTTTTAGATACATTACACTCTCTCTCCTATAATACACATTTACCAATTTTAATACCTATTTTTTCTCCATTAAAACACTCAACCTCTTAAATCAGTTTTTTAATTTTAAATTTTATCCATTTAAACACTCAACCTTTTAATCAGCTTTTTGATTTTGAATTATTAAATTTAATTAAATTTAAATAAAAGAACAAATTTTGAAATTTTGAATTTCAAAATTCAAAAAATCAGGAAGCAGGGGTAACTTCCAGTGCCTTCTACCGTTTTGTTCTTACCAACGTCAACTTTCACTTCTTTTTTTTTCCTTAATCGTCTTCATTCGACTATTTCTTTCTAATTTTGAATCTTCTCAACCCAACATATTTTTTTTATTTTCTTCTTTTTATTCTAATCCATATTTGACTATTTCTTTCTAATCTTGAATCGTATGAACCCAGACCCTTTTTATAGTTAATCCATCAACAATTCGTATATTCTTCTCTTTTTTGTTTTTGTTAATTGTTATATTACATCATAGTAATGGATCCGTCAATTAATAGAAGGATATATGATTCCGACGATGATAATTGGAAAGAAAATAGGAAAAAGTCTTTGCATGATCCTATGAATCTTCAAAAGGATTCAAACAAAGACCATGGCGAAACATCAAAGGTTGTAAAAATACAACAAAAAAGGAAAAAAGAAGCAGCAAACACTGTTGTTAGGCCTACATTGTCTCGGGTTAGTATTTTGGTACTTAAAAATGGTGTTGTTTAAATTAGTAAAATTTTTAAGGAATCAAGTGTGCTTGCTGATACATTTGAAAAAGGGTGTATAGTATTTTAGATGGTCAACTGATACGTGAATTTGTTGTGTTTCATAATATTTTATATGTATCATTAAGTTTTTGAAAATTATTATAATGTATCATCAATAAGTGTAGTAAAGTATAAATTGTACTTCATGATACATGTAGAATCTGTGTATACATTGTTTAGTCAATGTACTGATACATGTAGTAGCTATGTATCACATGTTTTGCATGTAGTATGAATTCCTGAATGATATCATGTATCAGTAAGGTATTAGTTGTTTAGTTTATGTACTGATACATGTTTTGAAATTTGTTATAATGTATCATTCACTAAGTTTAATAAATGCTTCATCAGATATAGTTGATGATACATATAGATTCTTTGTGTATGTTGCTTAGTCGCTGTTTATGATACATGTATTAGACATGTATCACATGTTATAATGTTTTAGTTAATTCACTGATACATGTTATAGACATGTATCACATGTTTCTATATCGTTTTAATTTGCGGTTTTATTTTCAAATTGCAGCCACTGAAGTACAAGATTAAAAAGATACCAACACATCCCATAAGGTTTGCTGTCAATTTTAACAACAATTTCCTAAAGGACTTTGAAAAATACGTAGGGGACAATGTTATCCAAATGTTTAAGGATACAATTTTTGGACCCTTTTTAGACATTTCTAAATGTAATTTTTAGGGCCAAATAACTAAGTGATTATTGCTTTTAGAATTGGAACAAAGCAACCCTAATGTGTTGCATATTAGACTTTCCAACGGGTGTGTCCTGAAATTTGGTATAGATGAATTTGCATTATTAACAGGACTTAAGGTCAGAGGAAATACCAATGATTTCAAATACCCAGAACAAACTAATTGTATGCTTTTTAAAAAGTATTTCCCTGGTGAAGTCAATAGTGTTACAAAGCATCAACTAGTTCAAAGGTTTAAGATGGGTAATTGGGAGAGCAATCAGGATGTACTCCAAATGTCTATATTGTTCTTTATTCATATATTTGTATTAGCTACTCTTGATAATACAGCGATATCTATTGTCGACTTTCTAATGGTTGAAGATGGTAGATATCAATATTTTCCTTGGGTTCAACTATCATTTTCCAAACTAATTGGTTCACTTAGACAGGATTTTGACGTTAGTAAAAAGTTGTACCGATTATATGGGATGCCATATGCACTAAATGTTTGGATATACGAATGTGCATCCAATTTAAATTCAGAAATAGCTGTGAGAGAACGCAATGTCATCCCAAGAATATGCAATTAGAGAGTTGTGTCTGAAAAGGCAAAGTTTGAAATGCTTATGTCTACCATTTTCCAAGAGGTAAAATTTTATTTTTGTATATGGAATATCGTTATTTATGTCTTTGTGATACATTATGAATTATTACTGTATCTAACAGTTAAATTATCTTATGTGTTTGTGATACATTTAGAATGCATGTTCAAACATTGTCCCACCAGTAGAGGAAATTGAAGCTTTTGATATTGCTCAGGTTGAACATGCTCATTCTACATCAATACCATTAATACAACCAAACGAGGAAGATGATTTAGATGATTTCTCCACAAAACCGCCCGAACAGTTATTGAGGACATAGTCTAGAGTGTTTGATACATCTCCTCCACCACCGCCAAAAAGAAGAAAAAAATCGATTATTCAAAAAAAGAAGGTGTCAGAACAGAAACAACCTGATCAATCAAATGTGTCTCCGACACCGGATGATGATGTACATGTTTCCATGTCAAGTTTGCCTTAACATTCGAATGCTGATGATGCACATGGTTCTGTTCCACAAGTGTCACCGAAATCGGCTGCTGATATACATGGTTCTGTTCCAGACGTTTCTCAGAACCCAACTGCTGATGTTCGTGGATATGCAGATTCACAGAATGTCAACAATATAATTCCTCATATTGAAGAGTTGAAAGGACATTTGAAAACTTATGTAAGTAAATTATTTTATTATTTTTAAACAAACTTTTATTTATCCTAAATGTATCTATAATTTTTAGGTTGACAAGAAATTTGAGGAACTGATTATTTTGATAAAAGCAAATCACTCCCAGCTGATGCAATCTATTAGCAAAGAGAACATCAATTTTCAGGCTGATACAAGCACATTTGAGTCTGACAAACAAACATCTCAGCAAATACCAGTTGATTTCGATGATATGGGTGGTGTAGCTGAGGATGGTGGTGGTTTTTCTGATAAAAATGGTGAGCATCATATCGTCGACGATGCAGGGGATGTCGATATGGATGGTGTTGGTGTTTCCATAAATGAGGGTGAACAAATAGTCAGTGATAATCCAAAGGTAATGTTTATGATACAATTGGGTATGTTGTGTATCATGCACATATAGTCAATGCTTTGTATCATGATCATTTTTTTTATCATTTTATATTTTGTCATGTATCATGCATATTTACTCAATACTATGTATCATGTGATTGTCATCAATGTTACGTATCAGCACAAATTATATTAACAATTTTTATTTCAAAACTGCATATTCAGGATGGTGACGCACATCAGTCGCACCAAGATTTAAATGAACATATCATGGACCAAGCCGTTGATGACAATGTTCATCACAACATCCCTCATGTGTTGCCCGAAAAAATAACAACGGATTCATCAGTTTATTTTTCAATTTTGATTTATGACACACAATTTCATTACACACAAATTTATTCTAAAAATCATTACATCATATTATACAGGATTCTTCAACTTCAACAACAATATCGCCATCAACTCAAGCAGCAATAGATGCGCTTATCAAAGATTTCGGTAAAAATGCTACCAATGCTAGACCATTATATTCTTATGATCCACAGAATATAACTAGCAGCCAGTACTTGTTGACCGACAGTCAATTACCCACTGATATTCCAATAACGGAGATTGCTGTTAAAACTGATGCAGTCACTCCTGCGCATAGAAATAGAATGCCTTCGAGAAGGATTCAATCTCCATATTGTACTTCTTTTGGGTCAAGCGAGAAGGGAAAAGAGAAATTGAAGGATATGGCTCGACTCCATTTCACGTTCGAAGGATGTGGCATTGCAGATAAAGTTTCGCCGAAACTTATTGAGGATTACATGAATTGGTTGTTGAGGGGGCTTCTAAAAAATCATAACAATAAGTAAGTTTTATACATTTTTTTTCTCAGTGTTAGGCGTAATCATTTTATATACAACTAATTCATGATACTTTGTTATATAAAAACTGTAAATAAGTCCGTGTTATGTATCATGTACATACATTGAAAACTTATGTATCATATATGCAGGAACCCATCGGACGATAAATACAGATCAAGATCTTCTTCTTTTGGATTTACGATGATGGACTTTGTTGTTACTTTTCCAATGAACAAGAATTGGTTTTATGCCATGTCACAGCCAAACAAATGTTGGTCTGATGAGGTAAAATATTAAACTATTTATGAAATATGTATCAGTCATAACTATATTATAACATCATGATACATTCTGTATGAGTATCATACTATTTAATTAGCAATGATACATTCTGTATAAGTATCATACTATTTAATTTGCAAAAGTATCATACTATATTCACTAATTATTTCTTTTTTTATATTGTTTAGATGTAAATAATTTCTTACTCTGTTTTCATTTTGTTTATAGCACATCGATGTGATTTTTTACTACCTTCGTAAAAAATCAAAACTTTGCAGCATGGATCAATACAGATACACAACAACCCACTGTTTGTTCATGTCACATGTAAAAAACTGTTATGATAGATATTACATGGACGATGATGATGATAGTCTTACTACACAAGAACATATTGATCGCGCTTCAGTTGTATCTGCACATGAGAGGTCAATAATTAACATCATCAAAGGGTTTGGAATACCAGCTGCTTTACCATGGCATCTTGTAGATGAGGTCTACATCCCAATTAACTGTGATCAAGAATTCCATTGGGTGTTGGCTGTTGTTGAGTTGAAAAACAGGTTGATAAGGGTTTTTGACTCATCAATTAGCACAAGGAAACAAACAATTCCTCATGAGATCAAGATGTTGTCTAAAATGCTTCCTTCATACCTACTTGACAGTGGATGAACGCACAAAATTTGCTGATTGTCAAGCATATAAAGACAACAATAATGGCTCACTTCTGGAGCCTCAAGTTCCTTTCATGATAGAATTTGCACAAGACATCCCTACACAGGAAAGCGATAGTCTGTAAGTATCAAGAATTATTCATTTGCCCTTTTTAATGTATCATTAAGTTTTTAATTTATTCTGTATTTTTTGTAGAGACTGTGGGTTATATGTTACTGCATTTGCCGAGTATATCAGTGACCAAATTAATATATCTTATGCTGATTTTAATCCTGATTACCTGCGTCAAAGATATGGAGCATTGCTGTGGAGTTATGGAAGTGAGAAGGCTAAGTGCGGATATGTTAGCGACAATGATGATCCACCAAAATCCAGGGGCGTAGTCACACCACCACCAGAAGAAGATTTAGTTCACATGGTGTAGCATTTCATGATAAAACAATGTTTTAATGTTATATTTATTATTTTTATATGTTATTGAACAACTATTTTTATCCTTTTTAATGTTATTTTTTTGGTTTTGTCAATTTCCATGAATATTTTTTTTCACATTACGTAACAAATTTATTTATATTGAAAATATAAATATCAAATGATAGATATAAAGATTTTTAAATTTTTAATTAAACATAGACACAATAAATATACTGTCAAAACCATGTTTAAATCATTTAATAAAGTATAATCAAAGTATTTATAATTAAACATAGACGTAAAGATTTTTAATTTTTTTATTTAATCGAGATGATGCACTGCCAAAACCAAATGATACATATGTACCAAACACACACTAAAAATAACTGATACATTCGCTAAACTGTATGTATAATGTACAATATGTTACACTCTAATCCTTAAATTTTACAAGATATTTAGGTAAATTGAATAGCATATTCATATGAATTGGTATTATTTTTTTAAAGGAAAGTTATTTACTGTATATTTCAATAAAAGCATAACAAAAAAAGCATTACACAAGTTAAATTATATAAATTCACTTGATACATGATTTATAGTCATTCTAAAGTACACAATAACCTCAACAATATATTTGTATTTTTTATCTAATGGAGATGTATCATTGTGCAAACCAATGATACACACTAAAAGTACATGATACATTATATAAACAATGTGTACCAAAAACACACAATAAAAGTACATGATACACTAGATAAACCATATGTATCATGTACATTATGTTACCTATTAATTCTTAAATTATATATCTTACTGTAGCATGATATTTATATATTCAAAACAAATATTGACACAAGTATATTTATCAACACCAATAATAAGAAAGTATTTATAATCATAAGCACGACTTCAAATTTAATTACCACATGTTTGTACGTTTATTTATCTAAACACAAAGTGTTCAATTTGCAATTGTAATGAAAACTGAAATTCATTAAAATGTTTACGTTATAAATTATTCTTGATATCATAGAAACATTACGACTAATTCACTTCTCTTTTGGGTAGAAAGTACAAGCTCTTCTGTTGTGCCCTTCTTGTCCACATTGTCCACAACAGTTTGTGTTCATCGAAATCTTTTCATCTGCATTCTTTCTTCTTCTTTTTCTTGGTCGTCCAGATGATCTTCTGTATCTAGGTGGATACACATTTTCAGCTACCACGTGTTTAGGATCTGACCAATCTTTCTTATATGACATTGGCACCATTAGAATTTCATATGTTTTTGTCAACGCATCAGGCTTGTAATAATCAGAGTAATACGGATTCATATCGGTGACTTTCTTTTTTTTCAATACAGCAATTGCATGTGAACAAGGTATCTCATCTAGTTGAAATCTACCACAACAACATACTTTCCGCTCAAGACAAACAATATATCTTCTTCCATTTTCATAAACTGAGAAAATAAACTCAGATGATGGAACAACCTGTGTACATTAAAAATTTTAAATATATAACTTTTAAAAACCAAATCATGTTAAAAAAAGCATAATGATACACAGAATTAGATACATATAATATAAAGTATTATATAATGATACATACCTCCGTTTTTGAACTTTTAGCCGCGTTTATAATCAACAATTCCTCAAATTTTCTACCTAATGTGTCCTTTGTGTATGAGGCTACTTCTCTGTTTTTGCAATGCCAAAATCCAAAAAGAATTCTAACCTCTTCCAAGAATTCTAATATAGTTAATTGGCGTGCTTCAACAAGACAACCATAGATACATTCTGCAATGTTTGAAGTTATCATTCTACCTCTGTTTACTGTTGCATGAACTCTTGACCACTTTTCGTAACCTGCATATTCAAGGTACTCCTTAACCCTGTGATCAATTCTATCAACCTTAGCCATCAACTTATCAAAATCTTCCTTTCTATATGCCTTGGCCATAAAGTAGAATAGATCACTTATGGCCTTTCTGCTCCTTTTGAAGTTTCCACATACATTCTTCCAAAGATGCCAGATGCATGCATAATGAGGTACATCGGGGAACACAATCCTTACACTCTTCATGATACTCTCATTTCTATCTGAAACAACACACATATCTTTTCTATCGCCAAATGCATGTTTGAACTGTTCGAAAAACCATGTCCACGAACAATCATTTTCGGTGTCAACAACACCATATGCCAATGGAAATATGCAACCTGATTACACACACCTTATATTATTTGATACTTAATATATAAAAAGAAATCATTACTATAAATAAAAAATACCTGCGCCATCAAGTGTGCTGGCTGATACAAATGTCCCTTTGTAAGCTCCACTCAGATGTGCACCATCCATAACAACTACTGGTCTACAATATTTAAATCCCCTAATGAATGGTCTTAAGGCGATGAATAGATACATAAATTCATCCTCTTCAGTCTTATGCATTCTTATATAAGAATCCGGATACACAGTTTTTAACATGTGTATGTATCGCGGCATCCGTCTATATCCTGCAGATGGTTTTTCCCTAATCATGGAGAGTGCACGTTCTTTAGCACGTCATGCTTGCTGGTAAGATATTTCAACACCATAATATTCTCTAATATCATCAATTATATCCCTTGGTGTATAAATTCGTTTATAATTGACCAATTTTGGAGCTGTCACTCTACTTACAAATCCCATTGTTGCTTGGACTTTGGTTAATACCCTCTCCCTCATCGGACACGTATGTTCACTATTGAAATTTCTAACAATGAATATATCAGATTTTTTCCTGCACGACGCCTTCATAGTCCAACCACATTTGTCTGAAAAGCATACCAACACATAGCTGCGTACATTTTTTAAGCATATTAATACACATATCAAATGCATCATATATAATATATTCAACAATAATGTTTAAAGTAATCAAACAATGAATCACACAAAAAGTATCAACCAATTTTTAAGAAAAGTATCAAAATTTAATGAAAATTATCCACTATTTATGATATGACTGTTTAAACTGATACAGTCCTTACTATATCAATAGTAGTACTTTCAAGTATCAAATATAATTATTTCAATGTATCAAAAACAAATTCCTGAAATAATGATACATTAGATTATAAAATAACATATGAAACATGCAGGTTTTCATATAGAACAGTAATGTTTCATGTACTAATTTAATTATAAAACAACACATGATACATTAAAATATCAAAACACTGTCATACCTTTGTTGATCAGACCTCTTCACTTTGCAATTGAAGTTGTTCTTTATCTTATATTTCGTCATCACATCTACAAGTGTTGTTTTATCCTTGTATATCTGACCTGTCTTCACATCAACAATATCTGAATTGATTATAACATTTGCAACTCCAACTTCTGCATTTTCATGTGACTCAAATAAGCTATTTTCAACTATTGACAAAGCCTGTGTATCATTTGTTGTGCTTTCTACACACGTTATTTCTCCACTTCTTCTATCAAAGTTATGTACAGTACCACTATTCTTCTCAATTGTGTCAATACATAATGGATATATTGAAAATCCAGGCTGGTTTTTTTTCAGTTCAAAATATAGTTTAACACTCATATCGTTCTTAAGTTTCATCGGACAGGAGTTACCTTCTACAATGTATCGAATTTCAATTTCTTTCCTATATACATCAATATCCAACTCGGCCGCAATTGCTACTTTGAGATTAGAAAACGAAATTGAATCTCCAACAACGATTCCATCAATTTTGTAACTTTCATACAGCAATTCGTTCACCCAAATTCCGGAATGTCTCATCAAAATCGAAGTATTCATCTTCAAAAACCCACTGCAACAACAACAAAATTTCGGTAGCTCCAATTTTAAGAGACTGTTTTAAAAAAATTGTTTTCAAAATAACTGATGCAATCTTTAATTTTCAAATTTTGAAATTAATATCCAATTAAGTGTCGATTTAATGCTGATTAATGATCTGTTACCACAAATTAAGCTGTTTTAGTAACAACATTAAATTTACCGTTTTTATCCCCTATTTTTTCTTAACAGTTTTAAGTTACCATGTATCATTTACCATGTATCACTACATTTTAAAGTATCACGACTCAACAATTTTAAGGGATTTTTTGTAATTACTAAACTTGTCGGGACAGAATGTAATTATTGAATTACACTATGGGATTCCTTAAATTTTTATTTATTTTTTTGGAGAAATTACGCGTTTAAGTAAATTTATACTATTTAATTATTAATTACAGTTATATTTTGTTGTAATTATCACTCACAACTAACATTATACATTAATTATGTGAGCTAAATTCAAGTTTATATAATTAACCATATTTTATATATATATATATATATATATATATATATATATATATATATATAAGTTCCCAGAATATACAATTACATATGTATAATATGCAATTATCTAATCAGTATATACACAATTCACCTCCCACCCACTTTCTTCCCTCCCTCGCTCACCTCTCTCTTCCCTCTCCCAATCTTGCTCGCCTCTCTCCTATCTCTCAATCTCGCTCGCCTCTCTCCTCTTTCTCTCAATCTTGCTTGCTTTTTATACAAATACATATCTATAATATACAATTATCTAACTAATGTACATATATAATTTACCTCTCTTCCACTCTCTGCCCTCACTCGCTCGCCTCTCTTCTCCCTCACCCAATCTTGCTCGCTTCTCTCCCCTCTCTCCTAATCTCGTTTCCATATATACAAATATACAATTATCTAACCAATATACATATACAATTCATTTTTCTCGCCTCTCTCTCTCAATCTCGTCCGTCTCTCTTTTTCTTCTAACATGTAGCTATAAATTATAATTATTAAATTATAGTTTTAAAAAATAATTATGCTATTTTTTAGTAACCATGTAAAATTTTTCATATTTTTTCTTGTGCATCACGCCGAACGGCCTTAGTAATGTAGGCACCAAACGTCCCATTCGGGTTCCTAATAGGCGTGTGCGCACATTTGGTTGCAGCTTCCCCGATTCTCGTCATCACAAAACTGATATTGACGGGCTGAGTGTTTGTGAATTCTAGGGCTTGTAAAGGAGATCTAGCAGCTTCTTTCTCAGATCCCAATTTTCCTCAATTTGTAGTCGACAATGGCACCTCTTCCAGCACCATACTCAGGAACCAGCACTCTTGCTCTGGTAATCTTTTGTCTTCTATACTTTTATCCGTTTACGACTACTTCACTGTACATCTGAATAAAACTCTCCTTTATTAAAATGAATTTTTGATCTTAAACTATTTTGGTGGTGGTTGTTGGCGGCAGGTGGCGCGCGCATCAGCATTTACCTTTGGACTCGCTTATGGAAGCGTTAAGCTCAAGTATCTCAAGGTATTTTCCTCCTCTTTTGAATGTTTTATTTTTGAGAAGTAATTACTTAGGGTACTGAAATGAAATGGGACTGAATGAATAAAGCTCGATTGCTAAAACTATTCTGAGATTGAGCCATAGCTGGATGACCGAATACAGATTTTGCACGGGGTTTTGTTCATCAGATCATTTACTTGAAGTTCCTTAAAACTTATGATTCACTTTCAGTTTCGCGGAGCAGACATTTAGTGCCTCATGTAAAATGAAATAGGTATGTGTCTAATGCAGAACAGACATAGTTGGTTCAAATAGCCAACCTAGATAGTTTAGGATTTACAGTGTTGGTTGATTGATAGACTTTGAATTGAAACCTGGCATTTAAGGGTTTCTTATAAAATTAAATGGGCTAATGAACGGAGCAGAGAAGATATATAAGATTCATATAGCCAACCCAACCAATCTGGACTGTTTCCTTCTCTTTATTGGATATGATGTTACGTTTCTGTTTCAGATATGATAAGAAGCCCTGTTGAAATCATTTCTAAAACTAGATGAGTGGATCAATTGCTAGGGTATTATTGTTCATGAGGTGACTAATAAGACAAGATTAACTTTCTAAAGTGGAATTACATATCGGAACGTAGAAACTGAATGTTTCTCTAAAGACCTAGACGGAATAAGTATGAACTTGAGGACTCATTGCTAGTCTACTTTGACGTTGCTGCAAAGATTTTAGCCAAAATGATCCTCCAACTTACGTCTCAAGTCTCACATAGTTGATCCGTCCAAATAATCCTTTGAATTGCTAGGCTCGTGACTGAAGTTGTCAACCTTTAACTGGGTTCAGCAAGACAACAACTAGAGAAAGACTACTCACATAGCTGCTTAAGTAAATGTTGGTATTACTAAGAAAAATATTCATTGGAGGCCACTTCTTTCCCCTATCTTGTTTTGAAGCATCAGATCTCTAGATTTTCAGACACAAGATTGGTGGAAGCAGTCATCTGCGCTTTATCATCCATTTCCTGAGTAGAGTAATCTCTACTCTCTTGTCTTCTTCTTTTGTATTTTTAACAATACACATCTCTTTGTGTTTGGAATGCCTAACTTAGCCAAAAGACAATTTCGATGAATACAAGCCAAAACACAATTTCGATGAATACAATCCAAGACCATATCTTAAAATTGTAATTGCACAATAAGAATAATGCCTTAGTCTCAAACAAGTGGGGTTAGGTATATAAATTGTCACTGACCGTTATTTAAACACATCTAAGGCCATTATTATTATATAAAATAGAAATAACAATAAAAATAGTTTTCTTTTCTAAAAAAGAAACTATAGTAAAAATAGAAGTACAAATGAGATGTTTGCTGTAATTACTTTTGATGTATAAATCTCTGAAAGATAGAACAACTCCCAAAAAGATAGGATAGGAAATGGAAGTGCTAACTGGGCTAAAATATATTCTCAACTTATAGGTGCTAAATCTTTGAAAGGCTAAGCAACTCTTAGAAAAAATAGGACGTAAAATAAAAGATATAAGCTATAACTCAACTAGATCATATTTTCAACTAATAGGTATCTTTTATTTAGAACCCTTCAGGATGGCCCAGTGATTTGAGCTTGAGACTCAATTACGAAACCAGCGTAAGCAAGGGGTTTGCCTTCTAGATTGAGCTCGTTACACCAAGTTTGCCTAGTGTGGATTACCTCTCCTATTTTGGTCGCTAGCTATTGCATAGGATCGAGGGTTTTACCTTGTGCGCACCCGATGGGTAGCGGCTGCGGGTTTTCCTTGTCATAAAAGAAACAAAAAAAAAGGTTATCTTTTATTAGATCTTTTTCTTCCATTGTGCTCCATTGTTTGTTGACTTTGCATGGCCAAGAAATTGTAGATCTTTTGAGAGAACTTCCTTTCAAGTGAATTTTGGTTTACCTTGTCCCTTGTAATATCTTCACTTACCATGGTTTCATATCTATGTATTGGGGCATCAGGCAGTCAACTTGACATGACCATACCATCTCAAGCGACCTTCGATTTGTTACTTGAACCTTCTCGTGAATGTATTCATTCTTAATCTTGTCTAGTCTTGTATAACCACACATCCATCTTAGCATCCACGTCTCCGCGACACTCATCTTGCAGATGTGTTAGACTTTAGCAACCCAACATTTACTCCATTATTACAATTGTAATTGCAAATGAGTTATTCCCTTTCTTTACCTAATTCGAACTTTGTGCCACTGGTCCTTGAGGATTTTCCGGTTATCAAAAGATAAATAACTAGAATCTCCATATTTGATAATCATTGAACACCATTCCTCTCTAAACATACGGATCATGGTCCTGCTTATTATTTGCTTCAAGAACTAATTTTGGTGCTCTCTGATTCTTTTTTTCCCCCAATGAATGCTTGTCACCTTAGTTGAGATGTGGATAAAGGAGATCGATTATCCACTGTTTTTCGAACCTTATGCCACTAGTCCTTGAGGGTTTCTCGGTTATAAAAAATAAAAATAATAATAGAATCCCCATAATGATGAATTGATGATAATTGAACGCCAATCCTGTGCAAACATATGTGTCATATGTCCTGCTTATTATTGCATCAAGAACTCCTCTGCTGGATTATAGAGAAAAAATATTTTTAGTTGTCTTCTCTTTTACTAATCCATTTCACTTTGCTCCTATGACTTAATAATGATTTTGCAAGTCTGGATGATTTCTTTAAACTTGGCACTGGCGTCTTTTCCAAGCTGCTGTAAGACTGCACCCTCTGGACTCAAATACCAATCTTGGTGCTCTCTGATTGTTATTTATTTTTCAATGAATGTTTGTCACCTTAAATGAGATGGATCTATTTGGGTTAGGTGATTGATCTCCTCCTCCTCCTCCTCCACTATGAGGAGGAGGAGTGCTTTATCTGTGGGTTGTTCCCAAATCTCTATTGGATAATATGTTTTTAATTCCACGTAGTAATTTACAGAAGTGGTGTGTTGTGAGGATAGCGTTGTTATATTGTGCTACTTATCCTTGTAGCAACTGTTGCAATATGTTATTTTCTTTCAATAAAGATGTTTGTAATGACAGTTAATTCTAGCTGATTTGCCCGATCAGAGTAAGTGTGACACTTTTTTCCCTCTATACTCTTTTCTAGGCAAAGGCCAAGTCTCAAAAGAAGGCTGAAGCTAAGGCACGTCACTGAAAGATATCTCATGGTGGATTTGCTCTTTGCTGATAGAATAAGATGTGGCTGATTAAACTGTATCGCGTTTCACCTGATGCTTATAGGATAATTAGATTCTGACTTGTAGCTGTTCAATATTTTGGTAGTTTTGTGGTTTTTATGGTTCAGTGGGGTTCTCCACGATCAAATATTATTATATTTATAGTACAAGCCCTCTCATTAAAATTCAAACAACTATAGTAAATTTGCCTCTACATCATACATAGGGATTTATATTTTCAACAGGAAGTAGTAACAAAAGTTGGCCTTAGGAAAAAAGGAGGATCCCAAGCATAAGAGAAGTTGACTGTATTTTTTGCTGGTATGACATTGCCATTGTTGACACTACATTCATTGTTTCCCAAAGGCTTGAAAATAGTTGGATCCACTGGCTCTGTTGTCTGAAAATCATTGCAAGACAATACCATTTTTTGCATGGGACAATCACAATTGTTCATCACAACCACATTCCACTCTGGCTTTCCCTTTATTTCTACACCACTCCTTATTGTTCCAACCGTTATATTGTTCAAACCACAACTACAAACACCTACACAAATAAACATGAGGAATAATTCATTTTTTATTTTTGTTAAACAACTTACATGTCTTATCTATACATTTGTTGATTGAGTAAGTAATTTATATAATTATACAAAATATACCATAAATCATCGATTCAATCCCTGATTGAATAGGAGGCAAACACTTGTGATTGCTTGAATTTAAGAAAAGCTCGAGTTGTTTCTCTTCTTTCTTCATGATCAGAATGATGCCATTATTCTTTGCTTATTTTGCCTTTTTTACCCCTCAATAGAAAGGTATTTTTTATTAATACATCTGTTCAATTATTATAAAAATACATCTCAAAGTGTCATCTAAGCGAAAAGGTTTGCTAGGTCAAAAGTTGTGTGTTTGTTTGCTCCACGTCTGTGAAGCACTTAACTCACTCAAGAAGATATATAAAATTGTTAGGTTTTAGGTGTTGAATGAAAGAGGCATGCAATCAATTCCAATTAAATCATGGTAGTTTTAACGACAAAAATCAGGTCTAAAGAAATTGAACTGTCCCACAATAATCTTACCTTGTTCCTATCTTAAATAATTATTAGTCGTTTAAAAATTGTACAAAAAGTATTGGTAGTTTAAAGAAATAATAGGCCAGATAATTATTTAGCGTGAGGTCTACAAGTAGTTGTTTTTGTATTTAATTATCTAAACGGACACAATTGGCCGGCCGGAGGGAATAGAATATGAACATTCAAATAGAAGATCTTTTTACCACGAGTAAAAGAAAAAAAAAATTCTATCTTGACAAAATCGATGTAAATATTACTGTGTAAATTTATTACTTATACATGATTTGGTGGCTGGACTAATTTTCATGCATCTCAATTAATTTCATGTGATATTTGTCATGACCTCTCACCTACAATCAATATCAAATATGAGCAGACTCAAGTAGAATAGATTATAAGAATCACCAAATATTTTTATTTCTGTTCAAATATAAACTCGACTCTGTTTACTAAAGACAGAACAGTTACCACCAAATATTTTTATTTCTGCTATAATATAAACATAAAACTTGATAGATTCTCAACGAACTTAATAACCACTACATCACAACACCCTTGGGTGCAGTGTAAATTATTTGGGGCAAACGATTCATCTTGCTTTGATTTTTTGTGGGGGTCAATTTAGACCAAGTTAAGAAAAATAACAAAATATAAAGTAGAAATAGTCTAAACAAATGATGATACATATCCTATTAGCCAATAAATATTTAAATTTTGGAATCTTTAGATCCAAGAAAAATAAATCATTCATAAACTAACAAATCTTTTTATTAATCACTAAAGTTTTCTTTTATTTCCAAAAAAAAAAAAATACTACTAGCACCCCTTTTAAAGAGTAATATTACAGACCAAGTTTTCTATGAAAAGAAAAGAAATTCATGATTATATATGCAAGTAAATTAACTAATTTTTAACCAAAATGAAGTATTGTTATAAAAATCAGAAAGGCAGAAGCATTTACCTTTGGTGAGAAGTGTAAGAAGAAGAAGAAGAAGAGTGATTGAAAGCTTGACAATGGTTTCCATTAGGGAGTTTGATCTCTTTGTTGATGTAGATATGATAGTGGCTTCTCTTCTCTCTCTCTATATAAAATATATAATATATACTCCTTTCGTTCCATTTTATCAGGTCCAAAATAAATTATAGAAATTTATGTGATTGTAAATCATTTCATTAAGATAAAACAGATATGTTATAGTTAAATATTACTTAATATAAAAATATTTTATTTTGAATTACCTAAAAAAAATAACTCATATAAATTGAAACGGGAGAAAATATATTATTTTTGAGATTTACTATAAAAACATAGGGAGGAGTAATATATAATATATGACGAATAAAGTTGTTCAATAATAGCCATATAAATATGAGGTTAAGGGTCCCTTGTAATTAATGTATTTGATTTTATGTGTGTTAATAATAGTCATATGTTTGCCGTGTACAACTCTCTTTTTGGATATTTGATAAGTTAATGCCATCATATTCATGTAACTAATTTTCTTTGTCCAGAATAATTTCACAAATCTCTTCTAAGATTTCGACTAATAATTTATATTTATTTTCGGGAAATAACACAAGTGTTTCTAAAACTTTGTAACTTTTGTACTAATTGATCATACAATTATGTTTCTTTACTTTGATGTCCCTAAATTAATTATATATATGTTTCTTTTTTAAACTTTAAGATAATTTGCGGTCGTTGAAATCTCTGTCATTCGGGTGAGCATTTCGTGTTTGCTGGGTAAATCTCCTTCTCTGCAAATCACGCACGAAATATAAATCGCACTTGACAAGCTTTTACGATAGACTCGACTCAGAAGACATTCAAGAAGGATTTATCCCGAATCATCCGTGTGAATAACCACTTTTCAAACCAACTATATTATTTTTAGTTAATTTTTTTTTATCTTTCTTTGCTAATTTTTCTTCTTTTCTTTCATTTATTATCCTTTTCTTTCTTTATTTTTTAAAACTCAAATTATGTCATTCTTTATTTTTGTTTACTATTCATACTTAATAATGACTTTTTTCTTTTAACTAAAGTAGCCTTCCGGCCATTTAGTATTGAAATAGTAAAAATAACACGGAATAACAAAAAAAAATAGAGTATATTATGCAATAGAGTTATAGTTCTTAAAAATTGTAATTTGCGGCTATAATTTTATAAAATTTTGTTAATAAACTCCTAATTGTATAAATGTTGTATTTGTATGATTTGACTTTTGATTATATATATGCTTCAAGATTTTACATGTTCACCGTTGTTATTTGTATGCAATTTGTTGATACATTTTCTTTTTATAAGTTATGAACTCGTAACGAATTACATGTTTATATATTGACAAGAAAAATATATAAATAGAGTTTTGATGTTTTTTTAAATGTATGAATACAAAATTTGTATATACTTACGTTGTTTGTATGTTGGCAAACGAAAATATCCATAGCAAACAAAATTAGAGTTATGAAGCGTAATAAATAAATTATTGTAGTTATGAGACGTATAAGTTTAAGTTCTTTGATATTTATGGAATTTTTCCTTAAAATACAATATGAATTTGGAAAAATTACATAAACTGGTACATTTTAATAAATAATTAGTGATTTTAGCGATACTTTTTATTTATTACTATTTATAGCAATATTATGTAAATCTGCAATATGAATTAAAAGTGAATTACCTATGCAATATATATATATATATATGAATTATAATTGTTTTTTGAAATACATTATGTTTGTTTGGTAAAAGTTTGAGACGTTGTATTATAAATGTATTAAAATGTGTGAAAAATATATTATTCATCATTAAAACTTGTATTATATGTGAATAATAAATATTCTTTGTAATATGTATTAAACATGTATCCTAAATGAATTAAAATTGATCAAGTGAAAAAAAATTATTATTGCTATAAATAATAATAAAAAATTTATTATGATATATTTATGTAAGTTCTCCGATGAACTTTGTCTTAGCCCAAATAATAAGCCTTAACCTAAAAACAAAAATGATAAAAATGAACTTCAAAAATAAGAAACTAGAGGAACTTAAAAGAAGGATCTAGAAATCCTTTTGTCCTCTCTGGTGAAGAAACATGCACGATGAGTAGGAGCGCACTAGACAAAGCTCACTCACCATATAGCTACAAAATTAGATCTTAATGAACCATGTTTAAATCGATCTCAAAAAAAATATTATTATGTAAAAATATGACCTAACTTAATTTGATATGCAATAATATACGTCCCAAATAAAATAAGAAAAAATAACTTAAATACACAACTATAAGTTTTATATTCTCTAAATTTCCCTTCTTTTTTTAAATATTACATAATTCTTTTTTTTTTAAATTTTAGTATAAGTTTATAGATACATAACATTCTCTCTCCTATAATACACAATTACCTATTTTAATGCCTATTTTTTCTCCATTAAAACACTCAATTTTGAAATTTTGAATTTCAAATTTCAAAATATTTGAAATTTCAAAAATTTGGATAATTTCTCTCCCGTTCAGTACTTATCCATCACGTTTTCAGTTCTTCTTTCTCCATAATCGTCTTTCTTCTTCTTAACCCAACATATTTTAGTAGTTTCTTCTTTTTCTTCTTAATCCATCATCGTCTTTTTCTTCTTAATCCATCATCGTTTTAACCCAACATCTTTTTCTTCTTAATCCATCATCAGTTCTTCTTTTCTTCCTTTTTTGTTTTTGTTAATTGTTCTATTACATCATAGTAATGGATCCATTAATTAATAGAAGGATATATGATTCTGACGATGAAAATTGGAAAGAAAATAGAAAAAAGTCTTTGCATGATCCTATGAATCTTCAAAAGGATTCAAACAAAGACTCTGGCGAAACATCAAAATCAAAGGTTGTCAAAATGCAACAAAAAAAGAAAAAAGAAGCAGCAAACATTGTTGTTAGGCCTACATTGTCTCGGGTTAGTATTTTGGTACTTAAAACTGTTGTTGAAATTAGTAAAAATTTTAAGGAATCCAATATGTATCAAAAAATCATGAAAATTATTATCATGTATCGTGAAGTTCTGAAAATTGTTATAATGTATCATTCACTAAGTTTAATAACTGCGTTATCAACTGTGCTTGATGATACATATAGAATCAGTGTGTATAGTGTTTAGTTGATGTACTGATACATGTATTAGATATGTACCACATGTTATAATGTTTAGTCAATGCACTGATACATGTAGTAGATATGTATCACATGTTTTTTCATGTAGTATGAATTTTCTGAAAACTGATATCATGTATCAGTAAGGTATTAGTTGTTTAGTTGATGTATTGATACATGTTTGATGATACATGTATTAGATATGTACCACAATGTATTAGTACATCAACTAAACAACTAATACCTTCTACAATGTATCGAATTTCAATTTCTTTCCTTGATACATCAATATCCAACTCAGCTGCAATTGCTGCTTTGAGATTAGAAACGAAATTGAATCTCCAACAATGATTCCGTCAATTTTGTAACTTTCATAATGCAATTCGTTCACCCAAATTCCAGAATGTCTCATCAAAATTGAAGTATTCATTTTGAAAAATCCACAGTAACAACAATAAAATTATTGTAGTTTGAAATTTAACAGATTGTTTATAAAAAATGTATTCAAAATAGATGATATAATCTTTGATTTTCAAAATTTGAAATTAATATCCAATTACGTGCTGAATTTATGATGATTAATGTTCTGTTACCGTAAATTAAGCTGTTTTAGTAACAACATTAAATGTAGCGTTTTTCCCCATTTTTTTCTCAACAGTTTAAACTTACCATGTATCATTTACCATGTATCACTAGAGTCTAAAGTATCACGGCACAATAAATTTAAGGAATTTTTTGTAAGTACTAAATTTGTCGGGACAGAGTGTAATTATTGAATTACACTATGGGATTCCTTAAATTTTTACATAAAATAACACACACAAATTTCATGTATTTTTTTTAAAAAACTTGATATTCAAGATTATATACATAGTATACAAAATTATAATAAGTATTTTTTTAATTTGTAGGGGTGTCAAATTGTAACGACCTGTTTAGTCGTTTTGAGCAGCAGATTTTATTTCTGGAAAAACAGGCTGAGACGACGGAACCCACGATGGAACGTCATGGGCACGACGGACCGTCGAGGGTGTCTCGTCCCAAAACACTTAGAAATTCTGAAATTTGGGTGCTGAAATCGACTCTCTGAACTTTGTAACGAAATGGCAGGACGGACCGTCACAGGTGTGACGGACCGTCACAGACCCTTGGTGGAAATTTGGGTCTCTGAACTTTGCGACGACCTGCAGGACGGACCGTCGCAGGCACGACGGCCCGTCACAGGTTGCGCAATCCCAGTCCGGGTCAGATTTCTTTATACGTTTTAAGGGACGTTTTTGACTATTCCTGCTTTAATTATAAGATTAGTGGGTTAATGTTAATAAGTCTAATTACTTGGGGGTTAAAAGAGGTAACCTTAAGTTAATTAGTGGGTTATTATTATCATCTTTTACACTTGATTATATGTTAATTAGGGTAAAAGAAAGAGGGGTGGAATAAGAAAAATAGAAAGAACAAAGAGAAAACAGAAAAAGAAAGAGAACAAGTAGAGAGAGAGAGAAACGAAGAGGATAGCAAGGACTTTGAGAAGATAGCTTGTTGATCGCAATTCTTCGGTGGAGGTAGGTTATGGTTTTCATGCTTTCATAGTAAACTCTTAATAGAGAATGATATGTATTAGTAGTATTGTAAACCCTGCTATGTGCTTAATTGTATGCATGCATGAACGTGATTATATAATTGTGATTATATTAAGCATGATGAAGTTATTGAATCCCAAATCTTGATAAAAACCTAATCTCTTTTTAATGATGATGCCTTGGTAAGGGAGAAGGCTTGATGAACTAAAGTAATGAGATTGATGATGCCTTGGTAAGAAAGAAGACTTGATGAATTGATGGAAGGAGATTTAGGGGATCGGGTGTCACGAACCGACACGTAGATTTAGGGGATCGGGTGTCACGAACCGACACGTAGAATTAGGGGATCGGGTGTCACGAATCGACACGTAGAATTAGGGGATCGGGTGTCACGAACCGACACGTAGAATTAGGGGATCGGGTGTCATGA